TTACGTTAATACATTATTTTCATATATTCATTCCTGAAGTTTGTTATTTATTGGTACCGGATTTCAACCCGGATTCCACAACAGAAAGGATAAAAAGAAAGAAGTAAAGGAAAAAGAAGGAGAAGAAAGAAAGATAGTAGAAAAAAGAAAGAAAGAACGTTAGTCTATTTCTGCAAGGAGATTAATTCTATTCAATACATCAATATTTCTCGAAATAATGCCTCTTCCACCTATCTATCTATCTATCTATCTATCTATCTATCTATCTATCTGGCTGGCTGGATGGCTGGCTGGATGGCTGGCTATCTATCTATCTATCTATCTATCTAATCGCTGAGTCTCCTGAAGAGTCGACTGAACAATTACATTATTGGTGTTTGTTACTTATTGGTACTGGATTACATCCCGTAATCCCCAACATGCAAGAAGACAGAATAGTTGATTGTTAGCTAAAGGAACATAACATTTTCAAAATGGAAATTCCAAAATCAACCTGATAAAATTTAATTTTCTGTTAACAGTTTTTACAGAGGAGAGAATGTTCTACACATGAATCAGAATGCACATTGGGATAGAAAAAAAGATGACTTCCAAAATGTATGTGCTGTATTAACCAAAAGGATATTGTCCATAGAGTTAACGAAAAAAGTAGTGAAATGTTACTCAGTATCACTCTCTTGTGGAGCTATTTCGCAGTGGAGGCTTGTATTTGTACTAAATCGGGTCTAAAATGCGTTCGACGTACAAAACGTTTGGAACTTGATATAATAGGTATGACGCAGAGTAATCTAGTTGTGGTCGCTGATAATTTCGTATTCGACTAACTGTCGTCTGATATCGACTGACTGACTGACTCCTCGTTACTCTTAATACTCCTACTTATTATAGGTGGGAGAGTCTATTAACTATAGAATAGGTGTGTTCCACCATAACACACTCCTTCTCTATGGCAGTGAAAGCTGGACAATCACCTCGTAGATGCAGAAGAGACTTGCAGTAACGTCAATGCGTTTCCAGAGATTGGTGCTGGAAATAAAACGGGTCGACCATGTCAGTAGATTTTTAGAGAAAATAGATATAAAAATGAGATTTACACGTAACATCAGGAAGAGACAATTGGCATTTAGGCCACATCATAAGAAAAAATCCGCCCTGGGTATGACGATAAACTACATCCGCGTCCAGGGTAAGACGATAAACTACGTCCAACAGCAAGTCCTATGATCAGGAGGCTTTGAAAAGCGTAGAATCACCTCTTAATTGCTGATGTTCCCAGGTCCACCCTGACCCGCGGTGGTAGCAACTGTTAGGGTCCCAGCTATGGGCAAATAGTTAACCCCGAAACTGAGGCAAAAAGCATTATGAAAGTGTAAAAATAGCTTTTAATACCTGTCGTGGATTCCGTGAATGGAATCCTGCACAAATAAATAAACAACGCCCGTAATTGAGATAGAAAAATAAGTGTATTAAATGTAAGAATACAGACTTGAAGTGAGGATTAGTAGTCCAGGAATGCGGGTTAGTAAAAAGTATATGTACAGGTCTCTGTAAGTAAAGACGTAATCATCTCTGGACTCTTGTATAACTCTCTGAGAACACCCTGTATCTGTCTCCGTATCTCTCAACCTGTCTCAACGTATCTCGACGTATGTCAAAAAGCAGGTATTCTCTCTGTCAGTATAAATATACTTTGGACGAGTCCATCTTATGTAAAAAGGGGAGAGCCCCACAACAATACCAGAAATACTTTGTAAAAAAAATTACCAAATATACATTTTTGTAGAAAAAACTATTACCAGCAATATGTTTTTGAAAAAAATATTACCAACTATCCATTTTTGAGGAAGATATAGTGGAACACACCTATTCTATAGATAATAGACTGTCCCACCTAAAATAAGTAGAAGTCGCTCAGTGAGTTGGTCAGTCAGTCGATGTCGGACTTCCTGAGCGACTGTTCGGTTCAACTCTCTGTCTCCGGACGGAGAGGAACCCGAAGGAGGCTACGCCGAAGGGCGAAGTCACCTTCGGGGAGGTAAAACCGGCCCTGAACCCGTTTATACGGGTTCAAATGGGCTATTTTTTGGCTGAGCCTAATGGCTCGGGAATGCCCACATTAAAAAAGGCCTTGTGCCGCATGACACCCTCGTGGGTGGGTGGCTGAATATCTCAGTCGATGTCGGACATTCTGAGCGACTGCACGGTTCAACTCTCTGTCTCCGGACGGAGAGGAACCCGAAGAGGCTACGCCGAAGGGCGAAGTCTCCTTCGGGGAGGTTATGGCCCTGAACCCGTTTATACGGGTTCAAATGGGCCTTTTTTGGCTGGAGCCAATGGCTCGGGAATGCCCACATTAAAAAAGGCCTTGTGCCGCATGACACCCCTCGTGGGTGGGTGACTGAATATCTCAGTCGATGTCGGACATTCTGAGCGACTGCACGGTTCAACTCTCTCTCCGGACGGAGGAACCCGAAGGAGGCTACGCCGAAGGGCGAAGTCTCCTTCGGGGAGGTTGAACTCCCTGAACCCGTTTATACGGGTTCAAATGGCTATTTTTGGCTGAGCCTAATGGCTCGGGAATGCCCACATAAAAAGGCCTTGTGCCGCATGACACCCTCGTGGGTGGGTGACTGAATATCTCAGTCGATGTCGGACATTCTGAGCGACTGCACGGTTCAACTCTGTCTCCGGAGGAGAGGAACCCGAAGGAGGCTACGCCGAAGGGCGAAGTCCCTTCAGGAGGTTAACTCGGCCTGAACCCGTTTATACGGGTTCAAATGGGCTATTTTTGGGTTCGGGAATGCCCACATTAAAAAAAGGCCTTGTGCCGCATGACACCCTCGTGGGTGGGTGACTGAATATCTCAGTCGATGTCGGACATTCTGAGCGACTGCACGGTTCAACTCTCTGTCTCCGGACGGAAGGAACCCGAAGGAGGCTACGCCGAAGGGCGAAGTCTCCTTCGGGGAGGTTAAACGGCCCTGAACCCGTTTATACGGGTTCAAATGGCTATTTTTGGCTGAGCCTAATGGCTCGGGAATGCCCACATTAAAAAAGGCCTTGTGCCGCATGACACCCTCGTGGGTGGGTGACTGAATATCTCAGTCGATGTCGGACATTCTGAGCGACTGCACGGTTCAACTCTCTGTCTCCGGACGGAGGAACCCGAAGGAGGCTACGCCGAAGGGCGAAGTTCCTTCAGGAGGTTGAACCCCGTTTATACTTCAAATGGGCTATTTTTTGGCTGACGGATTAAAAAAGGCCTTGGCCGCATGACACCCTCGTGGGTGGGTGAAATATCTCAGTCGATGTCGGACATTCTGAGCGACTGAAACTCTGTGGGACGGAGGAACCCGAAGGAGCTACGCCGAAGGGCGAAGTCTCCTTCGGGGAGGTTAAACCGGCCCTGAACCCGTTTATACGGGTTCAAATGGGCTATTTTTGGCTGAGCCTAATGGCTCAGGAATGCCCACATTAAAAAGGCCTTGTGCCGCATGACACCCTCGTGGGTGGGTGACTGAATATCTCAGTCGATGTCGGACATTCTGAGCGACTGCACGGTTCAACTGTCTCCGGACGGAGAGGAACCCGAAGGAGGCTACGCCGAAGGGCGAAGTCTCCTTCGGGGAGGTTAAAATTCGGCCCTTTTAAAAATGGGCTATTTTTTTGGCTGAGCCTAATGGCTCGGGAATGCCCACATTAAAAAGGCCTTGACACCCTCGTGGGTGGGTGACTGAATATCTCAGTCGATGTCGGACATTCTGAGCGACTGTTCGGTTGAACTCTCTGTCTACGGACGGGAGGAACCCTTCGAAGGAGGCTACGCCGTTTATAGGGGTTCAGTCTCCTTCGGGAGGAATAAAAAAAAGGCCTTGGCCCAGAACCCGTTTATACGGGTTCAAATGTTCGGTTCAACTTTTCCTACGGCGGAGCCTAATGGCGGAGTCGGGAATGCCCAACCCGTTAAAAACGGCCTTGTGCCAATGGCTGGACCCACGTTACCTTGTGCGTGGGGGGGTGACTGAATATTGTCAGTCGATGTCGGACTTCCTGAGCGACTGTTCGGTTCAACTCTTCCTACGGACGGGAGGAACCCGAAGGAGGCTACGCCGAAGGGCGGAGTCTCCTTCGGGAGGTAACGGCCCTGGAACCCGTTTATACGGGTTCAAATGGGCTATTTTTGGCTGAGCCTAATGGCTCCAGGAATGCCCACGTTAAAAAGGCCTTGTGCCACATGACACCCTCGTGGGGGGTGACTGAATATCGTCAGTCGATGTCGGACTTTCTGAGCGACTGTTCGGTTCAACTCTCTGTCTCCGGACGGAGGAACCCGAAGGATGCTACGCCGAAGGCGAAGTCTCCTTCAGGGAGGTGAAACCCCTGAACCCGTTTATACGGGTTCAAACGGGCATATTTTTTGGCCGAGCCTTGGCTCGGGAATGCCCACGTTAAAAAGGCCTTTGTGCCACATGACACCCTCGTGGGGGAGACTGAATATTGTCAGTGTCGGACTTCCTGAGCGATGTTCGGTTCACGGAACCCGAAGGAGGCTACGCCGAAGGGCGGAGTCGGATACTAAAAGTGAACCCGTTTATACGACCACAACTAGATTACTGTGTCATACCCCTATTATATATTGAAATTCCTAACGTTTTGTACCTACGGGCGGAACCTGTTTTAGGACCGACTTAGGGTTCAAATACAAGAGCCTCTCATTCTTAAAATCACTGACCCCTCGTGGGGGTGATAACAGAGGAAAAACTGTTCGGTTCATTACGGGCGAGAGGAACCCGAAGGAGGGCTACGCCGAAGGCCGAGTCTCCTTCGGGGAGGTAAAACCGGCCCTGAACCCGTTTATACGGGTTTTTTTTGGCAAAATAAAAAAAGGCCTATTACTAGGGGGTGAAATATTTGTCGACATTAAATGACCCATGCCGAACCCGAAACAAAAAAAAACAAACAAACATAAGAACATTGGTTTGGAAAATTTGATACACGATATGGTTCATCTTCCTACTGAAATCCCGACGAATGAGAGTCTCCTTCGGGAGGTAAAACAAAACCCGTTTAACTGTTTTGTAATGGCTCGGGAATGCCCAAGGGCGGTTACTGAATAGAATAATCACACGAAGGTTTGAAGGAGGCTACGCCGAACGATAATAGAACCCGTTTTAGGACAAGAACAATGGCATATAAAATTCGTGCCAGCGGCCTCGTAGAAATACTTCCTGAGCGAAACTGCGAGAAGTGGTCAAGGGAGGTAAAAATTCCACAATGAATTTCCTGTCGGACTTCGAACCTGGAACTAGTCATGGTGGACGAAATTTATACGGGTTCAACAGGGGGCCGATCAAACCCATAATCGACCTTTTGTCATATCACCTGAAGAAGGCGATGTCGGACGACGATACAACGACCACAACTAGATTACTGTCCGAAACCGTTTTAGTGAATATGGCCTCCATTCTAAATCACTCCATAACAGAGGAAAAAATATTACTTAGATTTTTGACAAAACAATGCAAATAATTTGTCGAAAATGCCGTAAAACAAAACAAACAAACAAACATAAGAACATTTTGGAAAATTTGATTTAATTGAGATACCGCAATAAAAAAATGTTTAAATTTTTCTTCATCTCTTAGATTTTTGCTTTAAAGTGAAAAAATGAGAGACACCGTAGGAAACACAAAAGAGAAGAATCGTTTTGGAAAGGAAAAAAAAGAATAAAAAAGCAAAGTGGTCATTAATGAAAAGAATTATACATACAAACTAGACGAAAAGACACCCGTAGGAAACACAAAAAGAGAAGAATCGTTTTGAAAGGAAAAAAAAAAAAAGAATAAAAAAAGCAAATTCCAATGAAAATGACAACGAACGCAATTAATGCAAAGAAAACCAAAAATGTTAACATACTTCACAGCTTTGCAGAACACACATCGAAATATAGGAAAACATTAAAAAGATCATATAATGTTTACAATATACCTGAAAAAGCTAGTACAGAAAGGGATCAATTATTTTCATATGGTGAATGAGTGTTTCAAAATGAATGTCTCATGTTGAAATGCAAAATATACCTACCTCACCTTTATATATTAATAATAATAATAATAATAATAATAATAATAAATTGTTATTAAAGACCACAAAAAAACGGTGCCTCCTTATTGATATGGCAGTCCCTGCTGACTGGAATGTCTCTTTGAAGATATTCAAAAAGCTGTCAAAGTACAAGGACCTTGAAATAAAAATCTCGAAAATGTGGCATATGGGAACATCAAGAATCCCTGTTGTAGTTGGAGCCCTAGGACAGGTTGGAAAAGATTGCAGTAGACTAATTGAAGAGATTACTGGAAGTCCATGCCTCAAGGAGATACAAAAAATTGTCCTGACAAGTACAACCCACACCTTACGATAGGCTTTATCTATGTAATTTTTTTTTTTTTTTGTCAGTGGAAAGTGTCATGACGCCATTTCTAACCTTAGGTCCCTGGGTGGGACCCGGAAAGAAATGTGTAAACGCCAGAAATCAAAGAAAATAATAATAATAATAATAATAATAATAATATATGGCACATGAGAATATCAACAATTCCTGATGTATTTGGAGCCCTCGGATTGATTGGAAAAGATACCAATAGACTCCGTGAAAGGATTCCTGGAAGCCCATGACTTAAAGAATTACAGAAATTGGACCTCACGGGTACAGACTACATTTTACGAAGAGAATTATATATGTAAAATAAATGTGTGTGCATTTTGATTTTTAATTGCTCAGTGGAAAATGTCATGATGCCATTTCTGACCTCAAGTCTCTGATCGGGACCCGGAAAGAAATGAGTACACACCAGAAATCAAAGGAAATAAATTAATAATATTACTCACAGACATAACAAGGTAGCGACATATGTGCACTGGACGATATGAAATAGGCACAAAATCGAAACAACTGAGAGATGGGATGAGCACCAACCAGACACAGTTACACAAAATATCGATATCACTATTCGCTGGGCCATATCAATTCAAGCTGACAGGGAAATAAAAGCCGACAGACCTGATATTATCATAAAAGACAAGAAAGTGAAAGCGTATTGACATAGCAGTATCATCTGAGAGAAATACATATATGAAAATTATCGAGAAACTGTCCAAATAAAAGGTCCTGGAGATCGAGATTAACAGGAAGTAGGGAATAAAGACTGAGACTATACCAATAGTAATCGGAGCACTTAGTCTTGTGAGAAAAGTAATGGATAATTTTACTAACAGTATCCAAGGTAACATCTTACAAATTGCCCAGAAGATCGCTCTACTCAGGAATATCCTATATACTAAGCAAAGGGCAATCAATTAAATGACAATTCTTCTATAGGCCCCAAGGACCATAGGTTGAACACGACACTACTGAATACAAAGCATGAAACATAGCATACACAAATAATAATAATAATAATAATAATAATAATAATAATAATAATGGACTCCCTGGTCGTTTATCGACGTGTGAGCTTCCAGCATATCAGGTCCTAAAACCGAACAGCTAAAAATCTTAAAAGAGT